GGGCACAAAATCTAGACTATAAAGGGGCTGAGTCACCTGGGTGATTTCAAGTTTTGCCAAAAAATTCTGCATGAGCAGGGGTGCGTTGTTGTGATGAAGCTGCCAATCACCAGCTGCCCATAGCTGCAGCCTTCTGAATCATCCGAAAAGTTTCCACAAAGCAATGTTCAAGCTTAATGCAAAGTTTGATGCAGATTCATTGCTCTACTCGCTTAGTCATTTTGAATGTGATGGCCACACAGTACACATGCTCACTCAATGACATCTAACACCCTCACTAATACAGTGAAGCAGTCATTGTACATGCATGCACATTCCAGTTCACTCTCCGTGGCTGCTAGATTACATCGATGTCACATAAACCTCATGCAAACTGTTGTTATATTAACAATGGCTGGATTCTGTCTGGACAGACCTTGTACAGTGCGTGTGCAACTTCCCTCTTGAGTTTTGTTTTCTTTTTGTACGTTGTAATCTCCACATTCCGGTCTAGGCTACTTCCCTTGACTCTAAGAAAAGTGTCTTTTTCTTAAAGGAGGCACTGTTTTGTTTGTTTTGCTTTGTTCTTGCAATTACTGTTATCATTACTATCATTACTACTTAACTCCTTCCTCACTCCTAGCCCTTCACTACACAAGAAATATGGTTACACTAATATAACACCAACACAATGTAATATCGTGTATCTTTGTATTCTTCAACCCTATGGTACATAAGCTTTACACTGAATGCAGATTTATGAAAAAACTAATTTTATACTGTCATAATGTATTTCCATCAAACTACTGGAAGACTCAATTGACTTAATTATTGAAAATAGTTCTAGGTGTGTATTTTACACATTCAAACACCAATATAAGTCTTGGATACATTATCCAGGTAAGGAATTCTCTGAAATAGAAATAGAGGTAAGCTCTTTAGGTTGGTTACCTCACATTCTTTCTTTTTTCTAATATTAGCAGCCATTGATGTTTAATGCCTCTTTTTATTAATTCATTTGAGGTTGCAAAATGGTAATATACTATCATTTCTTATCATCTAGAATATTTTATAAAGAGACCATTTTACTATTTGATAATCTAGTGGTACAAGAAAGTTAGAACAAAATGCTTTCTTCCCTTTATCAGTTTTGAAGATAGGAACAGTCCCTATCATCTTTGGAAGGGGACTCTTTTTTTTTTTAAAGTACCACTATGAACTCAAGGATTTAAGCATATTTGATGGGTTTTAATACACTGGATTATTGAGTCTCAAATTGTCCCTCTTGGGGCCACTGCAAGCCTTTTCCAGTTGTCTCTTCAAATCCTTTGACATGTGTCTAGTAGTCTTTGGTAACTTCTTTGCTGTATGGTATGACAAGGGTTTCCAGGCTCATCTAGAAAACTTCCTGACTGATCTAGAATCTGTCATTTCTTGAAGAAATCCTGATATTTTTAATGAGTAAAGGTATTTAAAACCTGTAACCTGGGAACTAAGGGTATATATTGCTACTGGATTGATCATTGTTTCTAGGACTGTTCCATGGACAGGGAACAACAGAGGAACAGAGGCAGGAAATTTACACACATGCAGTGTGCGTTTTGTAAGAGGTAACTTTGTAAACTTAAAGCTTTCCTGAATTCCCTCACTCTAAAAGTTCAGGAAAATTAAATTCACATAAAAATGAGCAATAAAAAAGTATCAAGGTCAAAGAGCATACAAAGTTATTATGGGGTGGGGGGGAGAACTAAATAATATCCCTACAGACAATTAAAGCTTGTAACAAAAATGTATAAACAAAAAGACCAAAACAATAACCTATTACTGCAGAATGAGCAAGAAAGCACTAAGAAAATGACCTAAGACATGAAAGATGCTTTCATATTGATGTTTTCAAGTTCAAGCTGACTTTTGCTGCTTTTTTGTTCTAGAGATAAATATATTTAATGTTCACCACTGGTCCTTATGTTGATGTCTCCCTAGTCATTTTGTCTGAAGCTCATTCTCTAGTAGATTCCTTGAGAAAATTCTCAAAGGAACAATATTCCCTCAATTCTTGTATTCTGATAGCAGTTTACCAGCTTAAGGATTATACTCAAAAGTCAGTTCAGTATCATGTTACTTCTAGCACAATAACTGTGATGGAAACCTAATTTTCTTTTCCTTACAAATCGTGTGTTCTTTTCTTCTTACCAACCAAATTCTTGTTTGTTTTTTTCTCCATTTTCTTTAAAGTCCAGTAACTTCACTAGGTCTTGGTATTGATCATGTGAATCAAACTTCTTATTCTTTCAACATGCACCTTCAAGTTTTTTTTTTATTTCAGGAAAGTTTTATAATTTTAGTATTTATTCTGTTATGTTGCTTTGATTTCCTTTCTCAAAAACCCCTATTACTTGTCTTTCTTATGCCTGTCTCTCGAAACTTTTTTCTTTTAAAATTTCTTTTCACTTATTTTCTTATGTCATCATTTGCTCTTGCCTTGCTGTTATTTTAGGATTCATTTCTGAAATAATTTTTTCATTTATGTTTAATTTTCCCTAAGTCTGTCACCTTATTCTGAATTTTCATAATTGATTTATGTTGTTCTTTCATGCCTTATGTCTTTTTCTTAGTGCCTTTTTGCTCATTCTGAAATAGTACGTTATTGTTTTGGTCTGTTTTGTGTACAAGCTTTTATTACAAGCTTTAATTTCTGTAGGATATTATTTAGTTCCTTTTTCCCTATAATAACTTTGTATGCTCTTTGACCTTGATACTTTCCCATTGCTATTTTTTATGTAAATTTAATTTTCCTGAACTTTTAGAGTGAGGGAGTTCAGGAAATCTTTAATTTCACAAAGTTACCTCCTCTGCTGTTTTGGGAGAGTGCTAAAAATTCGGAGAGAGGGTGCTGATTGGTGGTTTGTTTCCTAAGGTTTCTTGACTCTGTAACCCTCCCTCTTTTATTTGGACCTTCTCCTTCTCTTATCTCTATTTATCCCTTTTCTAAAAAATTTAATTTCACTCCCAGCAGTTTCTCCTTAGGCTAAGCTCTACCTTAGAATGGTGTCTTGGCAACTCAGTTTTGAAAGTTCATAGGAGGTAGACTGCTCCTGACCATTAAAGCTTCTCAGTTACAGCTACTGCTATCTAATTGGCCCTCACAGTCTTTTAGTGAATATTTTGGAGTTCTGTTCTCAGATCCATCAGATGTTGCCCCATTGCTTCTTTTTTCCTCTTGCAGAAATGCCAACAGTGACGGGGTCTAAAGGCTCCTGGAATTTTGGGGTTTGTAGAGATACTCTGTTACCTGGTTTTGTTGTAATTATTCTATGTATTTTAAATGTTGCTAATTGCTCTTTCTGCTTTTATGTAAGGATTCAGAGACCAAAAACTGTGTTACTATTACCACCATCACTATCTTTCCAGAACCCACCTTCTTCCCAGCCCTTCCCCCTTAGGATAGCTTTTGTACAATTGTGACTCACTTAAGCATTACCATCTCTCAAGTACTGCTTGAGAGAGTAGCAAGGTAACCCCTTTATAACATCTGCTTTTGTTGTTAATTACCAGCATCAAACAGCTTTGAAAGACATCACTCTGATAGACAACGTTTAAACCTATCCTTAGTGTTCATACCATAAAGCTACCTTAAAGACGTTACTTTTGTCCTTTAATAACAAAATTCTCAGGATGGAGAGAATCAGAGATGTTTTCACCAAATTCTATGCCAAAGACTACAGAGTAAAAATTATTACTGAACAAATTATGTATTATCAAGCGAGTCTGTGTAACAATCTTTTTTTTTTTTTTCCACTTGAGAGATAAAGTGAATGATGCATGGCAGGTACAAATATTTCCTGAATGAAGGATCACGAAATGCCAAAGTTAGTAATCTCCATTTCTGCAATGTACTAATAACCTTTTTTTACCCTCTTCTCTGGAAACAAATATCTTCCTAAATCTAACTCAACCCATGTTTCAAGTAAATTAAAGATAAACTGCCATTTTGGAATTTTTGTAAGTTTTTTCCTCATATACCAAATCTGATTGTAATCCAACAATAAAAAATTGTTTCAGGAAATTTAACCCTACCTTCAGGCTTATGGTACTTTTTTAAAGGATTAAGCTATATGTAACTTCATAGAGAGCTCGATGTTGTTCCCTATATTGATAACCCCTCCACTATGAATACGTTATCCATCACTAATAATTCAATTAGCTATACACATTTCAAAACTAATTTTTTCTGTAAAATATGAAATGGACAAGAGACATACTAAAATCATTAAATGGGAGAAACACTAATCTATCGCCCCAAGTCTAGCAGTCTGGATGACTGCTTTCCATTATCTTTTCACAGTTTCAATATATTAGTGCCCTAACAATCTCAAACCACCGCCCCCGCCTCGCGCGCGCGCACACACACAAGCATCCCAATAACGTGCCCTGCGCCGTCTAAGTGCATGTCTGTTCTTTGGGAATGGGAGATTGGTACTGTCTTCGCAACAGAAAAAGTGTAACAAAAGGTATCACAAACAGGAACCAACAACGACGCCAAGAAGTGCAGGCGTTGAGGTGGATGGGAAGAGGCTCCCCCAGGAAGTAAACAGCTCAGACAGCGCAGGCGGTGCTAGTGGCTAGTCTGCGGGTCTGCGCTCCGGCTCGGTTGGCAGGTCCTCCGAGGACTTGCTCTCCGGCTTCGCGACCTCTAGAGGGGAAAGTGCACCCTGCAGCTCCCGGAGGATGGGGCGCTCATTGAAGCCGGCCTCCCCAGGACTGAATATAGGGATCGCGGCAGGCTCTGCCGGCTGGGAGCCGTCACAACCGCCGCGGTCAACGGAGCTCGGCTGCAGAAGCGCTACCTGTCCTCACCCCTACCGAGATCGCTGGGTGTTCTCAAACCTTCGGTCTCCTCCTTAGCCTCTTATCCGTCGGTAACGAGCTGGAGGCGGAGACCGGAAAGCCCCGTCCCAGGGCGGAGAGGGCGACGAAGCCCAGGTCCTCGGCCTTCTAACCGCTGGCCCTTGCTGACCCACCTGATGCTCTTTCACCACTTCGCTGAGGCAAGGGTACCGCTCGGAAATCCATCGGTAAAACTTGGGGACTCCCATCCCCACTGTCAACACTTAACTCCACCAAACCGAAACCAAACGCCCCGCCGGGGCCTACGCCGCCTACGCCGCCGCCGCCAGCCGTCGCTCCGCTGACGACAGCACACCTCCCGCCCGACCATAGAGAGCACCCGCCTGATCTAGAGCGGCCGGTCAGAGGCCGCGCCCGGGGCGGGGCTCCAACTCCAGCACCAACGCGCTTTTGTTTTGGAGCGCTCGGGCACTTGCGACACGTGGGTCGCTTAGTTCTAGTTTTCTTAAAGCATGTTATAGTATATATATTTCTTCTATTACCATTTATCCGCCCTTATATTCGCCTCCGCCTCGCAATCACCGACAGTTGGTTCTGAAAACCAGACTTCTGGAAGACTACCGAACACTGGATTTTGTACTGTATGCTGTAGTCTCCCAGGGTGCTCATCTAAGTATTTTTCAACAGATTTGGAAAGGTCTGGAGATTTATTTGATTTAGTTTGTCCTGGTAGAAGGTGAATTTTTTTTTTCTTTGAAGGAAACATACCTACAGCAAAGTTTCTTTTAAAAAACGTTCTTTAACAATCTATTTAAAAAAATTTCCTAATTTCCTAACTACCTCCACACCCAACCCCATCCAGCCTCTTCCTTAATTCTTTAGTACAGTATTAGGCCTTCAATTGGAAATTATGTTAGTTTTCACATCCATATAGCTCTTGGCTTACCCTGTTTTCCCCATCACACTTTCAACCGTGCAAAACGGAATTCTCTCAAGTGAACTTAAATGAAATCGTCTGTCATAAGAGTTTTCCATTTATTTGAGTGTCATAACCTCATTACTTCGTAATTATCATGAACTATTTTAAATCCTCTGCAAGCAAACACGAAAAAATTTAACCACGTTAAACATTTTTTAGATTTTAAAATCTCATGAAATTTTAAGTATTACTGTCTTCCAAGACACTACATTCTGGTACACTTTTAGTATGGCAGTGTCTTTAAAATCATGGAATGTTTATGTAGTTTCCATATGCATGGTTTTTGTCTTATGTGTTGTCCAGATCACACAGTGCAACCATACAAAAAAAAGAATTTTATTAAGTGAATGATATGCTATTTATATTTATATTTCTGGACTGTCAGTTCCTAGAGAGCAGGGGAAATAAGCTCTGTGCACAAATTTAACACAGTGCTTTGTCCACAGAATTTATTCCATATAATTTTTTGTTGTTCAAATGAATCTTTATTCTAATGACTACTTAAAACTAAAAGTTGTAAAATGGCTTACTTCCTGTAAATACATTTTTTTATTTTTTAAAGATTTTATTTACTTATTTATTTTTAGACAGAGGGGAAGGGAAGGAGAGAGGGAAACATCAATGTCTGGTTGCTTCTTGTGCACCCCGTACTGGGCACCTGGCCCACAACCCAGGCATGTGCCCTGACTGGGAACTGAACCAGAGATCCTTCACAGGCCGGCACTCAATCCACCAAACCATATCAGCCAGGGCTATACACATTTTTATAGCATAAGAACATTTCATGTTTTATTTCTCTTGTGGTTATAATACACAGTAGATAGTGAGGAAAGCAGTTTATTTCTTAATAACATATATTATTTTAAATATTAACAATCAGGGAAAAATAACCAGTTGTTCTGAGAACATAATCAACTTACATTGTACTGTATTTTGGAACTGAACAGATAAAAACACAGATTAATACCAAATATGTTAATTTTGGATTAACGTATTCTTTGAAGTAATTTCACATATATGGGGTCCAACCAAGATACATTTGGCATAGTAAGTTTTCATCAGTAGCTTCTTGTATGAGGTAATGTACATGTCCTTCAATAGATAAAGGCAGCCCTGTCACTCTATTACGGGTCTTGATTACACCTTGCAGTCGCTGCTCGATATCAAGAACATGGGTCTTGGCCTAAAAGGAAAAAATTGAAAACTATAAGAAAGGCAAGGACCTAATGCCATGTGCATGTTGATAATTTGGAATTACTATCTTTCTATTATTTAACAAATGTTAATGCCATTTTACTGACCATTATCCCTTTTGTAAGAGCAAGTACAAAAGAGAAGAAATGAAACAAGTACAATAGTGAGATTGATTTGAAGGCCTCCAATGTTGATCCAACATCAACTATTTAGTCATTTTTCTGGACTATGTGAAATAGCAGGGAATATTAGTAGGGAGTGAATTTTTTTTTTTAACAATGTTGATAGAAGAAATCATTTTTAATGTGTACTGACATACTCAGGAGCTGAGTGAATACGTTTGTTGCTACTTAACAATCCCGAGCTGTTAGTATGTTAGTTTTGTTTCAAAGTGGTCTTTCAACTTTGTTTCCTGTTTACCTACCCGTGACATCTGTTATAAACTAACTGTTGTATTATAACAGTGTTACATGTCAGTGGTGTGATTAGTCAATTTACTATGTCTTAATTCAACCTTTGTAAACCTTCCATTTTTAAGTGCTTAAGTAATATTTTGCAATAAAAATAGAGTGATATAATTAACCAGCCATTAAAAATTTACTTCTACAGAGTGTCAACTGAGTTCATATATTACGTACTTAATATATTTCTTATGAGTAATGTAAAATTAGAGTAGTTACAATATTAAAGTTGAGACCTGCTGCTCTGTAAGTTATGCAACTTGTGTTCAAGTTTTTCCCACTCATAATTGTAATTGTCCATAGTTTAAACAAGCATGTCCTCAACTCTGCTTTTATTATACAAATGATAACAATGTTAATATTACTAGTGACAATAAAGAAAACTTAGGGCATTGATGTACTAAAGAACTAGATTTCAGAGTATTCAACAGTCAGTCACTGAGAGTATTGAGGATCAGTTCTCATTTGTAGAGATATACAGTATCAGCTCACATCACCTACACCTTCTACTAACCTTTTCATTGACAACTTCCCCAGTTTCATTTAATGGTGCTTTGGAATGCCCTTTCACGGGTTTACTCCATTCCACAAGAGGATCATGAAGAAAAGTCTTTAAGACACTAAAATGGAAAGAAAACATGGTAACAATACAATGTTATCTTTGTCAAAAGAAATCTTGATAAAATTGACACTACGTTAAAGACTAAGTGAAGGATGAGAAGCTAATGGTAATGCTCTTAACAACACATCATTACTCTTTCTGTAAATTATGTGAAATTATTGTTTTTGGGATGAGGGAAGGGAAAGAGGTGGCAGGGAAGAGACAGGATGGAGAAGGGTCAGAGGTTCCTGGAGTAGAGTAAGATGTTCTGTGTGCTCTCTCTGAATGCTTACTGTAAACTAGTTAAGGACTATTTATTGAATGAGTAAATTTCATCCTCTGCCGCATCTCCACAATGACCATAAAATAACCTATAGCTACCATATAGGCAGACCCCACCACATATTTTTCTAACATGCTCTAGACATCAAATCCAATTACCTATGGGAAAAATCCACTTACATATCTTGTAGGCACCTCGAATTCAATATTTTCAAAAGGAAATTCATGACTTTCCCTCAAACAATTTCTCCTGTATTCTTCATATCAGCAAAGAACAACATCATCTATCCACTGGCCCTGAACAAAAATCTAGGAGTCATCCTTGCCTCCTCTTCTTCTAAACACTTAATTCTGTTTTCAAAGTCTCTTTAGAATATCTCCATTTTTACTGTCACTACTTCATTCAGTGCACCATCACTGTTTAACTGGGTTACTGTAACAGTCCTCTAACTAGTTTTCTGCCCTCAAACCCAAACTGGAATTAAGCTTTCTATAGTACAAATCTGATTATCTCATTTCCTCTTCCTTCTTTATTTTCTTCTTAAAACTCTCCAATGACTTCTGGCTGTTCTCAGGACAAAGTTTAAATGTATAAAGTGGCCTCACATGGACCTTCCATACCCTTGCTCTCCCTCTACCTCCTAGGAATAGAGTACTTGAAGTCTACCATCTATGATACAGTATTGCATTTCTCAGGCAGGCCGTGCCTTCAATAGCATTGATATTTCTATCACTCAGAACATTCTTTTCCCATTTGTGTGGTCAGTTCTACTTATCTTGAAGATCTCAGCTACTTCTTCCAGAAATTATTTCCTGACTTCTTCCAGACTAGGATAGGTGCTCCCAATTAAGTGTTCCACAAGATGCTACACTTCCTCTTTCAAGAATTTGCTTTTACTTATGGCTAACTAACCAACGCATTCTATGATAATGTCTGGTAGACAACTTTTAAATATAAAAAGGCAAATAAATTAGTTTAAGTCCTTTTTAAAAACTACAGTTGACCCTTGAACAATATGGGTTTGAACTATGCAGGTTCACTTATATAAGGATTTTTAAAATAAATATGTACAGTACTGTAAATTTTCTTATTAGTAATTTTCTTTTCTCTGCTTTACATTATTGTGAGAATATAGTATATAATACACATAGTATATAAAATGTATGTTAATTGACCATTTATGTTCTCCAGTAAGGCTTCCAGTCAACAATAGGCTGTAAATAGTTAAGTTTTGGGGCAAGTCAAAAGTTACATGTGGCATTTCCACTGTGCAAGGGGACTGGCACCCCTAACCTCCATATTGTTTTAGGGTCAATTGTATTTCCTGAAGCTAACATAATATTTAATGATGAAAGATGAACTTCTTTACCCCTAATATCAGGAACAAGACAAAGATGTAGACTTCTTTCCATGTTTACTTAACATAGATCTAGCTAGGGCAATTAGGCAAGGAAAAAAGGCATTAAGATTGGAAAGGAAGGAATAAAACTGTATCTGCAGATGACATGCTGTTGTAGAGAGAAACTTTTAAGGTACTTACAAAATTAACTATTAGAAGTAATAAGTTCAGCAAGGTTGCAAGATACAAGATCAATATACAAATGTCAGTTATATATATTAGCAATCAACAATTCAAAAATAAAATTAAGAAGATTCCATTTAGAATAGCATTAAAAAGAATGAAGGACTTAGAAACACATTATTAAAAAGAAGTTAAGCAGAAAACTTGAAAACTAAAAACTACAAAACATTGGAAGAAATTAAAGAATTAAATAAATGGAAAGAAATCCTACATTCACGGATTAGAAGATTTAATATTGTTAAGATGACAATACTCCCTAAAT